TTGGTTCAAAGGGCTTTATAAGGGAACCCAAACCCGAAATCCAGGGAAATGAGGGCCTACTCTGCGTTCTAGCCTAACCCACGTTTCATCCAGACACCCTTCTGCATCCACAAAGTGACTTGCGGGGATTGGGCCAAGTTTGGCCGATGCGGGTCTAAAATAGCTAGGGTTTCGGGTTTAGGTTTAGTGTCTCTTGTGCTTCTGGGAAATACTAAAAAAACAAGCCTGAACCAACCTCTCCCCGCCCCAAACCGTGAAAGCTTCCTGCTTACGGGGCGGGGGGAGGGCACAGTACGGGAGTTGGGTTTTAGGTGAGGGGTTTTAGAGGGTTACAGGGTGGGGCCCCCTTACTATACTAACTGTAGTTAAGGGACTTATAACCTAACTTAGGGTCCTTATAACCCAATTTAGGGCCCTTATAACTCTACTTATAACTAGGGGGCCCCACCCTGTAGGGTTTAGGATATGTGCCATCATAATCCAAGGGGCGAGTAGGTGTACTCCTGCAGCGCTGCAGCACTCAAAGGCACGAAGCGATTTCGTCATTGACTCCCCTAATTCCCAAATCCTAACCCAAAACCCTTCAAACCCTAAACCCTGTAAACCGTAAACCCTATAAACCCTAACATTCGCAAGGCCTTAACCTAAACCGGCAACAGCTTGAGGGCTTGATGGGTCAGCCCTTAGGGTTTATAGGGTTGATAGGGTTTTTTTAGGGCGCAGGTTCGGATTGGGACTTGGGGTGAACTGCCGCGCTTGGGTTCAGTCTTCAAGGCTTAGTCGGACGGTAAAGGCTCAGGGATGTTGTTGGCCCTACACCCCGAACAACCCTAAACTCTAAACCCTAAACCCTAAACCCTTTAAACCCTAAACACAGAAACTAGGGGTGTAGCTGGTTTAGGCGCTGAGGTTGAAGGGCTTTAGAGGGCTCATGGAGCTCCAAGGGCCTAAAGGCGAAAGGGTGTGGAGACTTAGTTTGGAGGGCATTAAGGGTTGAAGCGCTTCAGGGGTGTAGCCTCTCACCCGTCACATGCACCCAAACCCTAAACCCCCGAACCCCGAAACCTAAACCTCGGACCCCCAGGGGTTTAGGGTTTAGGGTTTAGGGTTTAGGGTTTAGGGTTTAGGGTTTAGGGTTTAGGGTTTAGGGTTTAGGGTTTAGGGTTTAGGGTTTAGGGTTTAGGGACCCTAAGCCCGAAACCTGACACCGCGCCTGGTGCCCGAGTCGGCTCTGTGCCAGGATCCGGAAGAAAAAGCTTAGGGCCTGGGGGGGTTTAGGGTTTAGGGTTTAGGGTTTAGGGTTTAGGGTTTAGGGTTTAGGGTTTAAGGTTCAGGGTTTAGGGTTCAGGGTTTAGGATGTGGGGTTGAGGGTGTAGGGTTTGTGGGGTGCTTGAGGGCTTGAGGGCTTGAGGGTTTGAGAGCTTAGGGTTCATGGAGAATTTAGGGCTTTCGGGTCTAGGTAACAGTCTTTAGGTTTGCGGTTTCAGGGTTCAGGTTTGCTTGCTTCTCCAGTAGAAAGGGTAAAATAGGGCTTAGGAGTCAGACCTGCCCATTTTTCGAGCAGGATGCTCAAAACATTTCCAAGCCAAGCCAAAGCATGCCAAAAGCTCTAAAAGCCCTAACACCCTAAACTCTGAAACCCTGAGACAGACCCGGCCCTCCGGCCCCAAAACTGAAAGCATCCCAAAGCCCCAAACCCAGAACCCCCAAAAGAAAACTCAAAAACGGAAAACGCCTCCGAACCCTGGAGCCATCCAGCTCGAAACCCTAAACCCCTAGAAGGTTCAATTGCCCTGAACCCTACATTCGACGGTAGCTACTGATTGGCCTCTCTCTTCACAAAAAAGTGCGGGGTTGAGGGTTTCGGGTTTAGGGTGCGAGGTTTTGGGTGTACTTGGAGGTTCATGGGACGTAAGAACCACTTATAACTGGGCTTATAACCCTACTTCTAATCGGGATAAACCCTATAAGGCCTTGTAGGGGTATTATAAGTAGGGTCATAAGTACAGTTATAAGTGGTTAGTAAGTACCATGAACCTTCAAGTAGAGCGTCGGGTTTGGGGTTTCGGGTGTAACTCGTTTCTGTACTTCTTCGACCACTCTCGTGCAGAAGCGGTGCCAGAAGGTTCATCAGCCAATAGCAGCGCGGTCCAAGCCAGCATGGCATGTTCCTTACGGCAGAGTTTAGGGTTTCAGATTAAGTCAATTTCCTGAATCCTGAAGACCTCGAAGAAGCCAAAACCCTAAACCCTGTACACTTTAGAACGGCAACAAAAACCCCGAACTCTAAACCCTAAGCCCTAAGCCCTAAACCGCAGCCTGAACCCTGAACCCGAAATGCCGTTAACCTTAGAAGCGCCCCAGATCCAAAGGATCCTCGGAATCCAAGAAGCTGCACAGGTCCTGCATGGGGCTTTCCTAAACCCTAAACCCTAAACCCTAAACCCTAAACCCTAAACCCTCGAAACGGTTCGCTGTTGACGCCAAGGCGCCGTGTAGA